TAAATCCTTCCAGAGACCCTTGTCCACAGAGTCCTGTGTACAGTAAATCCTTCCAGAGACCCTTGTCCACAGAGTCCTGTGTACAGTAAATCCTTCCAGAGACCCTTGTCCACAGAGTCCTGTGTACAGTAAATCCTTCCAGAGACCCTTGTCCACAGAGTCCTGTGTACAGTAAATCCTTCCAGAGACCCTTGTCCACAGAGTCCTGTGTACAGTAAATCCTTCCAGAGACCCTTGTCCACAGAGTCCTGTGTACAGTAAATCCTTCCAGAGACCCTTGTCCACAGAGTCCTGTGTACAGTAAATCCTTCCAGAGACCCTTGTCCACAGAGTCCTGTGTACAGTAAATCCTTCCAGAGACCCTTGTCCACAGAGTCCTGTGTACAGTAAATCCTTCCAGAGACCCTTGTCCACAGAGTCCTGTGTACAGTAAATCCTTCCAGAGACCCTTGTCCACAGAGTCCTGTGTACAGTAAATCCTTCCAGAGACCCTTGTCCACAGAGTCCTGTGTACAGTAAATCCTTCCAGAGACCCTTGTCCACAGAGTCCTGTGTACAGTAAATCCTTCCAGAGACCCTTGTCCACAGAGTCCTGTGTACAGTAAATCCTTCCAGAGACCCTTGTCCACAGAGTCCTGTGTACAGTAAATCCTTCCAGAGACCCTTGTCCACAGAGTCCTGTGTACAGTAAATCCTTCCAGAGACCCTTGTCCACAGAGTCCTGTGTACAGTAAATCCTTCCAGAGACCCTTGTCCACAGAGTCCTGTGTACAGTAAATCCTTCCAGAGACCCTTGTCCACAGAGTCCTGTGTACAGTAAATCCTTCCAGAGACCCTTGTCCACAGAGTCCTGTGTACAGTAAATCCTTCCAGAGACCCTTGTCCACAGAGTCCTGTGTACAGTAAATCCTTCCAGAGACCCTTGTCCACAGAGTCCTGTGTACAGTAAATCCTTCCAGAGACCCTTGTCCACAGAGTCCTGTGTACAGTAAATCCTTCCAGAGACCCTTGTCCACAGAGTCCTGTGTACAGTAAATCCTTCCAGAGACCCTTGTCCACAGAGTCCTGTGTACAGTAAATCCTTCCAGAGACCCTTGTCCACAGAGTCCTGTGTACAGTAAATCCTTCCAGAGACCCTTGTCCACAGAGTCCTGTGTACAGTAAATCCTTCCAGAGACCCTTGTCCACAGAGTCCTGTGTACAGTAAATCCTTCCAGAGACCCTTGTCCACAGAGTCCTGTGTACAGTAAATCCTTCCAGAGACCCTTGTCCACAGAGTCCTGTGTACAGTAAATCCTTCCAGAGACCCTTGTCCACAGAGTCCTGTGTACAGTAAATCCTTCCAGAGACCCTTGTCCACAGAGTCCTGTGTACAGTAAATCCTTCCAGAGACCCTTGTCCACAGAGTCCTGTGTACAGTAAATCCTTCCAGAGACCCTTGTCCACAGAGTCCTGTGTACAGTAAATCCTTCCAGAGACCCTTGTCCACAGAGTCCTGTGTACAGTAAATCCTTCCAGAGACCCTTGTCCACAGAGTCCTGTGTACAGTAAATCCTTCCAGAGACCCTTGTCCACAGAGTCCTGTGTACAGTAAATCCTTCCAGAGACCCTTGTCCACAGAGTCCTGTGTACAGTAAATCCTTCCAGAGACCCTTGTCCACAGAGTCCTGTGTACAGTAAATCCTTCCAGAGACCCTTGTCCACAGAGTCCTGTGTACAGTAAATCCTTCCAGAGACCCTTGTCCACAGAGTCCTGTGTACAGTAAATCCTTCCAGAGACCCTTGTCCACAGAGTCCTGTGTACAGTAAATCCTTCCAGAGACCCTTGTCCACAGAGTCCTGTGTACAGTAAATCCTTCCAGAGACCCTTGTCCACAGAGTCCTGTGTACAGTAAATCCTTCCAGAGACCCTTGTCCACAGAGTCCTGTGTACAGTAAATCCTTCCAGAGACCCTTGTCCACAGAGTCCTGTGTACAGTAAATCCTTCCAGAGACCCTTGTCCACAGAGTCCTGTGTACAGTAAATCCTTCCAGAGACCCTTGTCCACAGAGTCCTGTGTACAGTAAATCCTTCCAGAGACCCTTGTCCACAGAGTCCTGTGTACAGTAAATCCTTCCAGAGACCCTTGTCCACAGAGTCCTGTGTACAGTAAATCCTTCCAGAGACCCTTGTCCACAGAGTCCTGTGTACAGTAAATCCTTCCAGAGACCCTTGTCCACAGAGTCCTGTGTACAGTAAATCCTTCCAGAGACCCTTGTCCACAGAGTCCTGTGTACAGTAAATCCTTCCAGAGACCCTTGTCCACAGAGTCCTGTGTACAGTAAATCCTTCCAGAGACCCTTGTCCACAGAGTCCTGTGTACAGTAAATCCTTCCAGAGACCCTTGTCCACAGAGTCCTGTGTACAGTAAATCCTTCCAGAGACCCTTGTCCACAGAGTCCTGTGTACAGTAAATCCTTCCAGAGACCCTTGTCCACAGAGTCCTGTGTACAGTAAATCCTTCCAGAGACCCTTGTCCACAGAGTCCTGTGTACAGTAAATCCTTCCAGAGACCCTTGTCCACAGAGTCCTGTGTACAGTAAATCCTTCCAGAGACCCTTGTCCACAGAGTCCTGTGTACAGTAAATCCTTCCAGAGACCCTTGTCCACAGAGTCCTGTGTACAGTAAATCCTTCCAGAGACCCTTGTCCACAGAGTCCTGTGTACAGTAAATCCTTCCAGAGACCCTTGTCCACAGAGTCCTGTGTACAGTAAATCCTTCCAGAGACCCTTGTCCACAGAGTCCTGTGTACAGTAAATCCTTCCAGAGACCCTTGTCCACAGAGTCCTGTGTACAGTAAATCCTTCCAGAGACCCTTGTCCACAGAGTCCTGTGTACAGTAAATCCTTCCAGAGACCCTTGTCCACAGAGTCCTGTGTACAGTAAATCCTTCCAGAGACCCTTGTCCACAGAGTCCTGTGTACAGTAAATCCTTCCAGAGACCCTTGTCCACAGAGTCCTGTGTACAGTAAATCCTTCCAGAGACCCTTGTCCACAGAGTCCTGTGTACAGTAAATCCTTCCAGAGACCCTTGTCCACAGAGTCCTGTGTACAGTAAATCCTTCCAGAGACCCTTGTCCACAGAGTCCTGTGTACAGTAAATCCTTCCAGAGACCCTTGTCCACAGAGTCCTGTGTACAGTAAATCCTTCCAGAGACCCTTGTCCACAGAGTCCTGTGTACAGTAAATCCTTCCAGAGACCCTTGTCCACAGAGTCCTGTGTACAGTAAATCCTTCCAGAGACCCTTGTCCACAGAGTCCTGTGTACAGTAAATCCTTCCAGAGACCCTTGTCCACAGAGTCCTGTGTACAGTAAATCCTTCCAGAGACCCTTGTCCACAGAGTCCTGTGTACAGTAAATCCTTCCAGAGACCCTTGTCCACAGAGTCCTGTGTACAGTAAATCCTTCCAGAGACCCTTGTCCACAGAGTCCTGTGTACAGTAAATCCTTCCAGAGACCCTTGTCCACAGAGTCCTGTGTACAGTAAATCCTTCCAGAGACCCTTGTCCACAGAGTCCTGTGTACAGTAAATCCTTCCAGAGACCCTTGTCCACAGAGTCCTGTGTACAGTAAATCCTTCCAGAGACCCTTGTCCACAGAGTCCTGTGTACAGTAAATCCTTCCAGAGACCCTTGTCCACAGAGTCCTGTGTACAGTAAATCCTTCCAGAGACCCTTGTCCACAGAGTCCTGTGTACAGTAAATCCTTCCAGAGACCCTTGTCCACAGACTCTTGTGAACAGTAAATCCTTCCAGAGACCCTTGTCCACAGAGTCTTGTGTAAAGTAAATCCTTCCAGAGACCCTTGTCCAGTGTCCTGTGTACAGTAAATTCTTCTAGAGACCCTTGTCCAAAGAGTCCTGTGTACAGTAATCCTTACAGAGACCCTTGTCCACAGAGTCCTGTGTACAGTAAATCCTTCCAGAGACCCTTGTCCACATAGTCCTGTGTACAGTAAATCCTTCCAGAGACCCTTGTTTCACAGAGTCCTGTGTACAGTAAATCCTTACAGAGACCCTTGTCCACAGAGTCTTGTGTACAGTAAATCCTTCCAGAGACCATTGTCCAGTGTCCTGTGTACAGTAAATTCTTCTAGAGACCCTTGTCCAAAGAGTCCTGTGTACAGTAATCCTTATAGAGACCCTTGTCCACAGAGTCCTGTGTACAGGAAATCCTTCCAGAGACCCTTGTCCACAGAGTCTTGTGTAAAGTAAATCCTTCCAGAGACCCTTGCCCAGTGTCCTGTGTACAGTAAATCCTTCCAGATACCCTTGTCCACATAGTCCTGTGTACAGTAAATCCCTCCAGAGACCCTTGTTTCACAGAGTCCTGCGTACAGTAAATCCTTACAGAGACCCTTGTCCACAGACTCTTGTGAACAGTAAATCCTTCCAGAGACCCTTGTTTAACAGAGTCCTGTGTACAGTAAATCCTTGCAGAGACCCTTGTCCACATAGTCCTGTGTAGAGTAAATCCTTCCAGAGACCCTTGTCCAGTGTCCTGTGTACAGTAAATTCTTCTAGAGACCCTTGTCCAAAGAGTCCTGTGTACAGTAATCCTTACAGAGACCCTTGTCCACAGAGTCTTGTGTACAGGAAATCCTTACAGAGACCCTTGTCCACAGAGTCTTGTGTAAAGTAAATCCTTCCAGAGACCCTTGCCCAGTGTCCTGTGTACAGTAAATTCTTCTAGAGACCCTTGTCCAAAGAGTCCTGTGTACAGTAATCATTACAGAGACCCTTGTCCACAGAGTCCTGTGTACAGTAAATACTTCCAGAGACCCTTGTCCACAGAGTCCTGTGTACAGTAAATCCTTACAGAGACCCATGTCCACAGGGTCCTGTGTACAGTAAATCCTTACAGAGACCCTTGTCCAGAGTCTTGTGTACAGATCAAAGACTGTTGGTCTGATGTTAGTAAGCCTGTCAACTCAGCCCTTATTGAATGACAACAGATATATATGTGTATTTAGGCAACATGTTTATTAGTGTATCAATTTGTAGGGAGCCTCAGTTGCAGGTACAAACATGAAAACACACAATAACTGCAGCTGTTGACAAAAACTTTGTTTATGCTATTTCTCATTCAATAGAAAAATTGTTTGCGTTATTTTGAAAACAGACAGTAAATGGTAAAAAATACCAATCCAGTTTAACAATAAATATTGCCAAAATAATATCTTATATAACAAAAAGTCTGACTTTCCATGTACAATAGTTCAGTAAGAATAAACCTTTCTGATTTAATTGCCATGTTAAGTTTTTTTTAACCCAATATAACAAAATGCCTGATTTCTAACATCCCATTAAGTGTTAGAACAGATCAGAAAATAAAGAAAACATCCCAAACTCAACCAACATAGTTTTCATCCCCATATAAAGGAGCCTGATTTCTCACAATCAGAATGTTCTGGAAAAGAAAACATAGGAGATTTGGTGTATGTGTTAGTTTTTGTTCCCATGTTAAATGTTCATAGCCAACACAATATAAATGTGAACTATCCACATCCCAGTGAGTTCCTGTTAAGGGGTGTAGTAAGTTAATTAGGAGTTATGGAGACATCATGACTGGAATGTGGTACAGGACTGCATCCTTTATATACAAAACTATAACAACTCAACATTAAAATAAGTATTTTCTGCAAGTGCCGTAAACTTTCTGGCAGTTTCAGTTGAAACACTATTTGAACACATACATCTCTTCAATAAAACATATTTTTTCCCAGTTAATGGTGATTTGAGATAAGACAATCTGGACGTACATGAACCAGACAATAACGAACTGTGACTACTCCTCCCTGTTACTGTCTGTACCTTCGTTACAACAACATGACTGTATTAGTACGGTCACGCTTCTGTAAGGCACAGTAAAGACACAGCTCAATTATTTTGGCACCTCCACCAATACATTACAATTATGTTAATCTAATAGAACTGACCGGAGGTTTACTGTAACCCTTGTTGATAGCTTCAGCTACTAAAACTAGGATCACATACATTTAAACATTAGCTATCTCTGTTAAAGGGTGTGACTGTGCCTTATACACCATTAAATAGGTCAAAGATCACTTCTCACAGTCTTCTGGCAGCATTTCAATACTTAAAACAGATGATGGTTATGGATGTTTTTTTCTCCATGAAGCAAGTTCAGAATCTTCCTTGAAAATGACTAGTAAAAGAAAATGTTGAAGTTACTGAAGGTTACTAAATAAATTGTTTGAGACTTGGTTATGGCTCATAACATGTCACTGCATTTAGTCAAACCACTATCACCTTTGTAGTATCTATTTGCTTGTGGAAATCTCTATGTTCACATCAAGGCAAGCGTAAATCCTGGGAACCCTTGAAAGTAGACCCATCCTATACCACACAAACAAAGCATGTGCCACTGTCAGCTTGACAGGATGGAATTCTGAATTGTATCTAAATGCAATGAAATGTCTACATTCTCACTTACTTAACACTTGTTTTACTGCAATACAATGCCATATGCTTGTCAGCAAATCTTGAAAATACAATTGTACCAAAAAATAGTGGTAGCCCATCTTCATTATTGTCAGTTAACAACAGGTACATAAAAGATGCTTTACAGTAGAGGCACAGCACACATTTACAGGCAACAGAATTAATTCCTAATTAATTCTCCGACGCTGACACCCATAAATTGTGTATTGACCCTGTAGTTCCCAGGTTTATATCACAATTCTGTTACAGTATTAAAACACCGAATTATCGCACACAGCCCAATATTCACAACAGCTTTCATCTGGTAGCTTTTAATGTACTATGAAATAGAACAGTAACATTTCCACTAAAAACACTTCCTACCCAACAATGTTCAATGTTAATTCAACAAATCAATATTCTACTCAAAAAAGATACAGTGTGAATTGCAAACTGTACACAATTCACTTTCATTCCCATCACTTTAAAAATAACGGTGGTAACAAACATGTTTTTTGTTATCATATATACTAATTGCAATGATAAATTATCTATAGTAAACATAACTCCCAGTTAACAACTGTCATTCTTCATCATTACTCCACCATCTCATTCATCACAGTCAACATTTCTAAAATCACAATCTCTACGTAGTTTTCTATTAAAATAAGTCTCTTGGTTAGTAACGTTTTACCACAACCTTTCATAAATAATAGCGCATTTTCTATCCAGGCTTCACTTACATTTCACTTTTCATGACTATCATTTTATTCCTTTCCATAAACTGGATGAAATATCCGTATTGTCTTTTGACTTGTATTATGTAGTTAAGACTTATCTGTTTGAAACAGTCTGTCTTAAACTTCAATTCATTCCATGTTCAGGAGGACGTTAAATTCTGTGTACATTGATTACTCTCCCACATCAGCATCCTTGTCCCCTATGAGGTAGAGGAGGTGGAAGGCTAAAGCCAGGAATGCTGTTCCCAGCAGATCACCGATGGCAGTCAGATAGGGGATGGCTACGTTGTCAGGGTCCTCTCCCAGCCGCCACACAAAGTGTACCATCCAATGGGCAAGATACAACAGGATGATCACCTATAATGGTCACAAGATCAGTGTCTGTATACAATTAACCATCAACAAACAAAACAGGACAGCCATCTCTAATGGTAAGGCTACAAGGTCATGGTCTCTTTACAGTTAACTATCAAACAAACAAAACAGGACAGCCATCTCTAATGGTAAGGCTACAAGGTCATGGTCTCTATACAGTTAACTATCAAACAAACAAAACAGGACAGCCATCTCTAATGGTAAGGCTACGAGGTCATGGTCTCTTTACAGTTAACTATCAAACAAACAAAACAGGACAGCCATCTCTAATGGTAATGCTACAAGGTCAGGGTCTGTATACAGTTAAATATCAAACAAACAAAACAGGACAGCCATCTCTAATGGTAAGGCTACGAGGTCATGGTCTCTTTACAGTTAACTATCAAACAAACAAAACAGGAGAGCCATCTCTAATGGTAAGGCTACAAGGTCAGGGACTGTATACAGTTAACTATCAAACAAACAAAACAGGACAACCATCTCTAATGCTAAGGCTACAAGGTCAGGGTCTGTATACAGTTGACCATCAAAAAAATAGGTAAATCACCCCCAATTGTAAGACAACAATGTAACTTTAATTATGTGGTTAATTATGAATTACCTTTGCCCAGGGATGCTCCAGACCAAATTTGGTTCAAATCCCTTTTCCCGTATTCAAGGAAAAGAATTTAAAAGGATTTACCAAAATCTCATATCAGGTGCAGGTTAGCTAAAAATGGCCACATTGAGTGAAAATTTCTGCATTGTACAGAAAATGACAAACGTTAATTAATATACCCTTTCCCATTCCAAAATGAAAAGGTCAAAAATTAAGAGATATTGCATTGCATGTGAAGGGAATTCAATGGCTGTGAAAGTACACGAAAGTCTGGTGAAGACATTCGCAGCAGTTGTCCAGATACAACAAAGAGTAAACTTACCTGAAGTAGAGAGGCGGTGAGGTAAATGCCAGCAAATGTTATAGTGATAGATGTGTGTCCAGCTTTCATGTATGATATAGTGAACATAAATATAAGGTGTCCAGGTATCACTAACGCCAACAGGACTCGCGCCGCGTTGGCATTGGTACCTGTTGTAGAGTGGATAAAAAGAAAAGATAAAGAAAAAGTTTTAATAATTAACAGTAAAACCCAGTTGTAATGCCACCCGTTAAACCTGCATACCGCCCAGAACAGATTTCCACAACGTTAATGCACCTGATGTAACGCCAAACCCGCCATCATATTCCCAAAACAAATGGTTAAAATCACACTATTCTGACCTCGTTAAATACCGCCAATTTGAGTTGAATACAGGTATATCCCATTGACAGGAATGTTACGTACGTGTGTACATTGTGTTGTTACATGTGACTGCCGACTGACCAGGTAATCAGTAGTATGTTTTGCACGCTCAATCATCTGATACAATAAATTAAAATTTATGAAAAAAAATGTTTTCTGTGTGAACACTTGGGTTTAAAAATGTAAACCTGATATGCTGACAAACTCGTTATAATGCCAAAATCATAGGACAGAAGATGGCAGTATAACAAGGTTTTACTGTATTGTTCATTAATAAACAATATCTCACTAATTGATCAACATTATACCCATCAATGGACAATATTTTACATCGACAATATTTTACCTTATAAATAAATTAACAATAACTAATAAACCAACAATATCTTGTAAGTGAGCTATACTTATGCTTGGGTATTTCTATCACATGTGAGGACAGAAATATGTTTTACTTTGTGTTGTGGAACTTAAATAAGATAGATTAGCCAGTGTACTAAAGCATAGGATATTACTCGTACAAAATTATAGCATACTGGTATCGGCACAGACTACAGAATATCTGACATCAGTTTTATATTAACTTTGTAGGATAGTTGTTGTGTGCTGGTCAAATACTTTTGTCAGTCATAAAAAGGCAAGACAGGTGTGGAGTTGTGTCCTGGTCTATTTATTTTGTTATAGATAAAAGAATACTGGATATTTACCAATAAACTAATGATGACGTGAAATACTCTGCACTATTAAGTAGCCAATACAGCTAAGACGTTTGACTTGTCATACATCTACATCTACAAAGTGACAACATTTGGGAACTGAGAATGATTTCAGTGAAAACTACAAAATTCTCGTCAAGCCAAAATATTTCAATCTCTATAAATATGTTGGAGGGTAAAACAGAATTGAAGACATGTACAAACTATACTTACTTTGACCACAGAAAGCACTGCCTGGATTGGGACAGCCACGAGTAATCGTTGCTGGCAGCCTCCCCGGCTTACAGACTAGATGTAAAGCAGTAGTGAGGCGACTGGCATGCACTGCCACTAAGTTACCTCCTACACCTGGAAAAAGTCACAGGTCGGCAAAGTTACTTCTCAGTTGTGTACAAAATCATTTAAACTTCGACAGGAAAACATGCTTATAAATGTAGTGAACTTCAACCAATCATTTTACATACATTTTTCATAGAAGTTATAATCGAGTATTAAATGTAAATATGGGATATAATATATTCCTGAAAACAAACTGTAAACTGTTAACTCACAGATATACCTGATCTACCAACTAGCTAACAGATCAAACTGGTAACTCACAGATACACCTGATCTACCAACTAGCTAACAGATCAAACTGTTAACTCACAGATACACCTGATCTACCAACTAGCTAACAGATCAAATTGGTAACTTGATCAGATATGCCCACTACTTTACAAATTAAGCTGATTACTCATCTGATCCATCACCAACTAACAGATACATTTAACCTTATCTGATCCACTCACTAACAGATACATTTAACCTCATCTGATGCACTCATTAACTAACAGACACATTTAACCTCATCTGATCCACTCACTAACTAACAGATACATTTGACCTCATCTGATCCACTCACTAACAGATACATTTAACCTCATCTGATCAACTCACTCACTAACATATACATTTAACTTCATCTGATCAACTCACTCACTAACAGATACATTTAACCTCATCTGATCCACTCACTAACTAACAGATACATTTAACCTTATCTGATCCACTCACTAACAGATCTGATCCATCACCAACTAACAGATACATTTAACCTTATCTGATCCACTCACTAACTAACAGATACATTTGACCTCATCCGATCCACTCACTAACAGATACATTTAACCTCATCTGATCCACTCACTCACTAACAGATACATTTGACCTCATCTGATCCACTCACTAACTAACAGATACATTTAACCTCATCTGGTCCACTCACTAACTAACAGATACATTTAACCTCATCTGATGCACTCATTAACTAACAGACACATTTAACCTCATCTGCTCCACTCACTAACTTATATAACAGATACATTTAACCTCATCTGATCCACTCACTAACAGATACATTTAATCTCATCTGATCCACTCACTATCTAACAGATACATTTAACCTCATCTGATCCACTCACTAACTTATATAACAGATACATTTCTTTAACTGATCCACTCACTAACTAACAGATATATTAAGCCTCATCTGCCCACTTTCTAATCCTTAAATGTCTGCCCTGCCCACTAAAGAATCATGCTAGTTACTCTATCTGATCTATCCATGCTCCGATCTGATCCCTTAGAGATCCAACTGGTTGCATAACCTGAACCACCACTCATTTACTTAGGAGTTGCTGCCTGTCTACTTACCATTAATCACAGGTTGAAACACAGCAATGCCATGGTATCTAGATACGGTAAAATCTAGAATTAAACCACCAACACTGAAACATAAAACAAGCCAAACTTAGAACAATGTATCAACAATTATATATGGATTGCAAATCCTACAAAAAAGTGAAACATCAACTCATTTTTCTCTGTCACATCCATGGCAAAATTTGGAATATTTTTCTTTCTGATAACTTTTATATCCTAATTATGTTTTATTGTCAATACTGTACTTCACTACTGACCTCAGTAAATGCTCAAGCAAGGAAGGTTGTCATGGATTCTGTCTCTTAGCCAAGACAACCAAAGAGATAAAAAAAAAAAAATGATACTTTGCTTGAAATTTAGCTTTGACTGTATGGTGGTAAGGGCTGGTTAGCCTGTTGTCAGTATAATGTGACCAGATTATAGCTTTGACTGTATGGTGGTAAGGGCTGGTTAGCCTGTTGTCAGTATAATGTGACCAGATTATAGCTTTGACTGTATGGTGGTAAGGGCTGGTTAGCCTGTTGTCAGTATAATGTGACCAGATTATAGCTTTGACTGTATGGTGGTAAGGGCTGGTTAGCCTGTTGTCAGTATAATGTGACCAGATTATAGCTTTGACTGTATGGTGGTAAGGGCTGGTTAGCCTGTTGTCAGTATAATGTGACCAGATTATAGCTTTGACTGTATGGTGGTAAGGGCTGGTTAGCCTGTTGTCAGTATAATGTGACCAGATTATGACATTTCAAGTGATGGCACTCTTAAGTGGCTCTTGACTTGAATGAGCCATCGTCAGGACACCGTCACCACAGCAACAGTTAAGGTCAGCTGTGAAATAACCTTACACAGAACAATGTCATAAAGCTTTATACCACTTTGAAGTCCTGATGATTTTTTACAATTCATGAAGTCCTAATGCTTTATATTATTTTGAAGTCAAAATATTTTATACTATTTTGAATCCATATGATACTTTATACCATTTTGAAGTCATATGATACTTTATACCATTTTGAAGTCATAATGCTTTGTGACTTTTGTGATGTCTAAATGCTATGTAACAGTTGATATTTGTGATGTTATTATGATTTGCAACTATTGTGACCTCGTGTCACTATAGCAACACAAATGAGTAAGATGTAGATGTAGATGCAGTAAGATGGTAAGAGATAATTTACAGCCTCGACAGAATACTTACCTACTAATAAACATAGCTCTTAGTACAGGGGTCCAGCATGTCACTATAGCAACACAAATGAGGGCAGTAAGATGGTAAGAGATAATTTATAGCCTCGTCCATATACTTACCTACTAATAAACATAGCACTTAGTACAGGTGTCCAGCATGTCACTATAGCAACACAAATGAGGGCAGTAAGATGGTAAGAGATCATTTACAGCCTCGACAGAATACTTACCTACTAATAAACATAGCACTAAGTACAGGTGTCCAGCCAGAGTAGACTACCACGTTGGTATATTTATTTTTTACAGATATGTACAGCCAGAGAGGAATGAGGGCTACCAGGAGACCAATAATGGTGGGAGCCATCCACAAATGTTTACCTGAAATCAAACCACATCATCTGTCACAGGCACTACACTAAACTTAATACTACATAAACAGACCAATGAACCATAATCGATGCAGACATACAGGAGACACAAACATCTGTTACAGCTCTACTTGAATACAAACGTAACGTTTTGTTCCCTAAATAAAATTGTTCTATTATTTTTATCCTAGCTGGTGCGACTAGCTTCAGATATCTAAGACCAAATCTTAAAATATGCTGATTTGAACTACATACCTGGTAAATGCAAGATAAATCATGTGAAGTGGCAGTTCAAATTACCAGTGATGATGTGAAATGGTTATACAATAGGATCCAGACACGTCCTATTTTTAGACTAGACTAACTCTGTCACTAGTGAGAGGGGAAACCAGACTGACCACTATATAAAGGTGTGATTGTCTTATCTATGAGTATAGAATTGTACAGGACTAGACTAAGGAGTGATTGTCTTATCTATGAGTATAGAATTGAAAAGCACTAGACTTCCTTTGTCACTAGTGAGTGGGGACACCAGACGGACCATTATATAAAGGGGTGATTGTCTTATCTATGAGTATAGAATTGTACAGGGCTAGACTAACTCTGTCACTAGTGAGAGGGGACACCAGACTAGACACGTCCTATTTTTAGACTAGACTAACTCTGTCACTAGTGAGGGGGGACACCAGACTGACCACGATATACAGGTGTGATTGTCTTATCTATGAGTATAGAATTGAAAAGTACTAGACTTCCTTTGTCACTAGTGAGAGGGGACACCAGACGGACCATTATATAAAGGTGTGATTGTCTTATCTATGAGTATAGAATTGTACAGGACTAGACTAAGGAGTGATTGTCTTATCTATGAGTATAGAATTGAAAAGTACTAGACTAACTCTGTCACTGTTGAGAGGGGACACCAGCCTGACCACTATATACAGGTGGGATTGTCTTTTCTAGTAGTATAGAATTGTACAGGACGAGACTAACTCTGTCACTAGTGAGGGGGGACACCAGACTGACCACTATATACAGGTGTGATTGTCTTATCTATTAGTATAGAATTGTACAGTACTAGACTAACTCTGTCACTAGTGAGAGGGGACACCAGACTGACCACTATATACAAGTGTGATTGTCTTATCTATGAGTATAGAATTGTACAGAACTAGACTAACTCTGTCACTAGTGAGAGGGGACACCAGTCTGACCACTATATACAAGTGTGATTGTCTTATCTATGAGTATATAATTGTACAGGACTAGACTAACTCTGTCACTAGTGAGACGGGACACCAGACTGACCACTATATACAGGTGTGATTGTCTTACCTATGAGGATAGAATTGTACAGGACTAGACTAACTCCAGCCAGTAGAGAGCGGGTGACGAGATCACCAAGACTGGCTGCTCTAGGTGGAGCTAACCACTTTACACAGGGGTGATTGTCTTACCTATGAGTATAGAATTGTACGTCTTATCTATTAGTATAGAATTGTACAGTACTAGACTAACTCTGTCACTAGTGAGGGGGGACACCAGACTGACCACTATATACAGGTGTGATCGTCTTACCTATGAGTATAGAATTGTACAGGACTAGACTAACTCTGTCACTAGTGAGACGGGACACCAGACTGACCACTATATACAGGTGTGATCGTCTTACCTATGAGTATAGAATTGTACAGGACTAGACTAACTCCAGCCAGTAGAGAGCGGGTGACGAGATCACCAAGACTGGCTGCTCTAGGTGTAGCTTACCACTTTACACAGGTGTGATTGTCTTACCTATGAGTATAGATTTGTACAGGACTAGACTAACTCCCGCCAGTAGAGAGAGGGTGACGAGATCACCAAGACTGGCTGCTATAGGTGTAGCTAACCATTATATATACAGGTGTGATTGTCTTACCTATGAGTATAGAATTGTACAGTACTAGACTAACTCTGTCACTAGTGAGAGGGGACACCAGACTGTTAGTATAGAATTGTACAGTACTAGACTAACTCTGTCACTAGTGAGAGGGGACACCAGACTGAACACTATATACAGGTGTGATTGTCTTATCTATTAGTATAGAATTGTACAGTACTAGACTAACTCTGTCACTAGTGAGAGGGGACACCAGCCTGACCACTATATACAAGTGTGATTGTCTTATCTATGAGTATAGAATTGTACAGAACTAGACTAACTCTGTCACTAGTGAGAGGGGACACCAGACTGAACACTATATACAGGTGTGATTGTCTTATCTATTAGTATAGAATTGTACAGAACTAGACTAACTCTGTCACTAGTGAGAGGGGACACCAGTCTGACCACTATATACAAGTGTGATTGTCTTATCTATGAGTATAGAATTGTACAGAACTAGACTAACTCTGTCACTAGTGAGAGGGGACACCAGACTGAACACTATATACAGGTGTGATTGTCTTATCTATTAGTATAGAATTGTACAGGACTAGACTAACTCTGTCACTAGTGAGACGGGACACCAGACTGACCACTATATACAGGTGTGATCGTCTTACCTATGAGTATAGAATTGTACAGGACTAGACTAACTCTGTCACTATTGAGAGGGGACACCAGACTGACCACTATATACAAGTGTGATTGTCTCATCTATGAGTATAGAATTGTACAGGACTAGACTAACTCCAGCCAGTAGAGAGCGGGTGACGAGATCACCAAGACTGGCTGCTCTAGGTGTAGCTTACCCCTTTACACAGGTGTGATTGTCTTACCTATGAGTATAGAATTGTACAGGACTAGACTAACTCCAGCCAGTAGAGAGTGGGTGACGAGATCACCAAGACTGGCTGCTCTAGGTGTAGCTTACCACTTTACACAGGGGTAATTGTCTTATCTATGAGTATAGAATTGTACAGGACTAGGCTAACTCTGTCACTAGTGAGAGGGGACACCAGACTGACCACTATATACAGGTGTGATTGTCTTATCTATTAGTATAGAATTGTACAGTACTAGACTAACTCTGTCACTAGTGAGAGGGGACACCAGGCTGACCACTATATAAAGGTGTGATTGTCTTATCTATGAGTATAGAATTGTACAGGACTAGACTAACTCTGTGACTAGTGAGAGGGGACACCAGACTGACCACTATATACAGGTGTGATTGTCTTATCTATGAGTATAGAATTGTACAGGACTAGACTAACTCTGTCACTAGGGAGAGGGGACACCAGACTGACCACTATATACAGGTCTGATTGTCTTATCTATGAGTATAGAATTGTACAGGACTAGGCTAACTCTGTCACTAGTGAGAGGGGACACCAGGCTGACCACTATATAAAGGTGTGATTGTCTTATCTATGAGTATAGAATTGTACAGGACTAGACTAACTCTGTCACTAGGGAGAGGGGACACCAGACTGACCACTATATACAGGTCTGATTGTCTTATCTATGAGTATAGAATTGTACAGGACTAGACTAACTCTGTCACTAGGGAGAGGGGACACCAGACTGACCACTATATACAGGGGTGATTGTCTTACCTATGAGTATAGAATTGTAGAGGACTAGACTAACTCCCGCCAGTAGAGAGAGGGGGACGTTATCACCAAGACTGGCTGCTCTAGGTGTAGCTTACCACTTTACGCAGGTGTGATTGTCTTACCTATGAGTATAGAACCGTACAGGACTAGACTAACTCCCGCCAGTAGAGAGAGGGTGACGTTATCACCAAGACTGGCTGCTCTAGGTGTAGCTTACCCCTTTACACAGGTGTGATTGTCTTCCCTATGAGTATAGAATTGTACAGGACTAGACTAACTCTGTCACTAGGGAGAGGGGACACCAGACTGACCACTATATACAGGTGTGATCGTCTTACCTATGAGTATAGAATTGTACAGGACTAGACTAACTCTGTCAATAGTGAGAGGGGACACCAGCCTGACCACTATATACAGGTGTGATTGTCTTATCTATGAGTATAGAATTGTACAGGACTAGACTACCTCCAGCTAGTAGAGAGAGAGTGATGAGATCACCAAGACTGGCTTCTATAGATGTAGCTAACCACTATATATACAGGTGTGATTGTCTTACCTATGAGTATAGAACCGTACAGGACTAGACTAACTCCCGCCAGTAGAGAGAGGGTGACGAGATCACCAAGACTGGCTTCTATAGGTGTAGCTGACCACTATATATACAGGTGTGATTGTCTTCCCTATGAGTATAGAACCGTACAGGACTAGACTACCTCCCGCCAGTAGAGAGAGGGTGACGAGATCACCAAGACTGGCTGCTATAGGTGTAGCTACATTGTCCGGGTTTATCTTTACTTTTCTGGAGACCACAACTACACCCACCATCACAGCACCTGTAACAAATCATCACAGCATCTATAAGAAGCATTGTATAAAATACAAGGTAGCAAATGAAAATGCCTTACTCCAAAAAAAATTCATATTGAAGAGCCTGACTTAAAAAAAAAGAGCAATGTCTGAGACAGTTCTAACTGAGGTATCAATAACAATATTAATCATATATATTGTTGATCAGTGATCACACATCTGTATTAGGCATTCCACATACCCTACTTATACAGGATTTACAACTGCCTTTTAGTAGACTTGAATTCCAATTCCTTTCGTACCTAGAAATGACATCTGATATAAATGTCCTTTTTTCTTATTCTCTTGTCTATATTTCTCCTATCCATCAAATTTCCAAATCTCCAATACAATTCCTAATCATGGTTTGTTTTAAATTCCAGGAGTTCCGGAGAGCAGCACCTCATGCCAACAGTCGCCCATGTCCCTGCCCAGAGTTCTGTCAAGTAATGTGGAATTAAACCAAACAGTAAACGACCTTTGGGATTCAGCTCTTACTTCCAGTACGCGAGGGGTTTACCATACAGGCTTCACCGCTTACAAAACTTTTTTACTTCTTAGCGGTGTCAATTGGTTGTGTACTATGCCACCAGTGTCTGAAGATCTATTGATGTTCTTTGTCGCACACTGCTTCAAAACCCTCAATATTAAAGCATCTACTATCAAACTGTATTTGTGCGGTATTCGTTACTCATATATGCGGGCAGGTCATGCTAACCCTCTGGTTGCACGAGACGGTCAAGCCTTCATCAGACTCAACACTATCCTCAATGGAGTGAAGAAACAGCAAGGTGTTACGCGTAAACCACGCTTACCTATTACTTTCAACATTTTGGAGAAAATTTGTCTGCTACTACGATCTGGGGTGTTTTCCCCTTTCCTCGACGTGATGATGGAAACAGCTTGTACTGTCGCCTTTTTCGGTTTCCTTCGCTGTGGAGAATTCTGTGTGACTGGGGCTTTTGACCCTACTCGTCATCTATGTATGGAGGACGTGAACATCGACCTTGTACAACAATGTGTCCATATAACCCTCAAGGTTTCTAAATGTGACCCTTTTAGGAAGGGTATATCTATAGTGCTCTATAGTACCTGTAAATCTGTATGCCCTTATACAACCTTGAAGCGCTATTTGTCCCTCAGGACCACGACAGCTGGTAGGAGGTGCACAATACATGATCTAGATCCATTTTTTGTGACAGACTCTGGATCGCCTTTATCGCGCACCACGTTTATTTCCTATTTGCGAACAGTTATTTCCAGACTTGGTTTAGATGATCGAGTATACAGTGGCCATTCGTTCCGCATTGGCGCTGCTACTTCTGCTGCAAATTCGCAAATAGAGGATCATCTTATTAAGACATTAGGACGATGGTCATCTGACTGCTATCAAAGATATATCCATACGTCAAGAAGTACCATCAAATCTGCTCAGAGGTCTCTAACTGTTGACTCAAGGGACCATGTTTGAACCCCTCATCTCTTAGTCTGTGACTCTCTGTACATTCATTTTCCAGACTCATGTTATTTTTTTTTGTTTCTTTTTAAACATCAACAGGTTTGTTAGGCCTTAACATGCTTTTATCATGTGTCATAGTGAATTTCTACTAGTATATGCAGCTTTCATACATATGTATACACCATTTCTGCAGATGTATCTACATGTATACATAGTCATTAATACTAGTTTAAGCATATATTCAACTCTATCCAATTATTTGGGGCTTTCTCATGCTGCGCATAATCAATTCGGTCCATTAGCCCCAAAGTCATTGGGGTTTCATTCATTTCATATACATGTCATACACAGTTTACATCGTACAGGACCATTTTCCGCCTGGTTCTTCAGTAGGGCTCAGGACTCGCCTGGCGATGTAACCAAACTATGTATGATAGCAGTCTTTGTGGTACAGGACTTTCGCCTGGTTCTCCAAGAGGACTCAGGACCTCGCCTGGCCACAACCTGCTCATTCAATTTCAATTTCTTCATTTGTTCATTGTCTACCAGCTCTAAACTTTAATACTTACCTCATTTCCCTTAACCAGGACCGCCTTTTCCTGTTCATAGGATTAGGACTTGCACCTGGTAGGGAATCTTGAATTTATCTTCCTTCATGCTGGTAATTTTGTAATATATATATGCAGCAGCCAAGACAGCCCTAAATGCAATTTGTTTGTTTGATTTTGTTCTATGTTTTTTCTAGTTAAGTATGTGTTTGCTATGCTATGTAAATTATATTATGTGTAGAACAGTTTTGTAATGTAAATACTTAGTGATTTATTTTATAATACATCTGTAAATCTTAAAAAATCTGTGTTTGTTATTGTTTATAAAGTACATGTACAAATCTCCAATACAATTCCTCATCATGGTTTGTTACCTTTACATATAGTACATGTACAAATCTCCAATACAATTCCTAATCATGGTTTGTTACCTTAACATAGTACATGCATACCAAGGGCATTTATGTGAATAACTTACCCAAAACAAAACTAGCTACCGCTGCAGTGAACATACTACTGGCACACAGCAACAGACCATGGTACAGATCAAACTTCCCCTGAGGGATCCAGCCCATTATCATGGCTACCATGGACGCCAGGAACCCAACAACGATGGCTTGAGCCTGGAGATGTTTAAGGTAAGCAATTAACAAAAATGATCCTAGAGATGTAGCAATGTAAGACATATACAAAAGTTATCAACTGATCATAGAGCCTGGAGATGGTTTAGGTAACTAACAATCTTTATTTCACAAAACTCATTTGTTTGCTTGAAAATGGATATGTTCTAGGTAAGCAATGTACAAAACTGATCAAGCCTGGAGTTGTATTAGAGGTAAGTAATTTTTAAAACTCATTCTAAAGTGATATTGGGCATTTACACATTCTCCAATCTTATCTCCTACTTTTGAGTGAGAGGATTGATTACCTATTTACTATTTAATGATTTAAGAATAAACATTGATCATGTTTAATAAATTAAATTACTGATGTTAATACATGTATTATTTTCAAACCAAAATTATGTCAAAAACTGTACAATACATTCTGCCTTCATACATTATAATTGATAGTGTCTAAGCTAACTAATTAATTGGCAGAAAATGTATACATTGAATTTGACCCCAGTATATTCTACGTCTATACATTGAATTTTACCCCAGTATATTCTACGTCTTTCTCGTAAAACAGTCAATAGCAATTGTAAACCAATACAAACATATAAAGTTGTGTACAAACCTGAACTAAAGCCATATTCCCACAAATCAGACTCCACATTTCCTTCTTTGAATCCAGATTCCCCAGATTGGCCTGTACAATATAGGAATTACATCTACCAGTGGAAACATTTAATGGAGAGTCCCATGCATATATGACTGTGATCATTGAATGTAAATACTTCTAGAAAATAGAGAGTACTTTCCGAGTTAGTCTTTCTCTTTACATTGCTGTCAATATTCAATGGAAATTGTTACAACATGACTAATTAGGTTACAGCATACAGGTCACTGATAATAGACCTGGTTATAAATTGAATTATAGGATCTTATCATAACTATATTTCTTAAACATTGCTTTGGAAAAGTAACATTTTTTTAAAAATGCTGCCACTGTAGTAATATATGCTAACCAGATGTGACACCTTTTTCAATATTCGGACTACTATTTACCCAATATTGCATGTTGTTTCTCTCATGGCAGATTTATTTTGTAATATCGAAGCTCGGACTAATTCATGTCAATGTGTTCTGCCCTTTACAAGCCCTTGACTGTCTGACATTTTGAATGACATGCAATTGTTTTTAAACCTGCATTTAATTGCTATCTAATGTAAGCTTGTAAAGAAAAGAAAAACAAAGTGACACTTAACCCTTTCAACACTGTAGACCAAAATGGACTCTTCCAGATCAATGCATGGTAGAGTCTACTAAAGTTACATAGTGGTGAAAGGGATAATTACCTCATATACATTGTAGATTTGCATGTAGATACATAAAAATGACATTTTCATGATCTCTTATACTATATATACTATTATTTTTACCTGTGTGGACAATCTTGAAGCCAATGTCATTTCCAAGTTCCCTTTCAATCCGAGCAGGGCGGGAACCAGGATGAACACTTCAGAAACATTTACAAACACGTCCCAATGCTACAATGATAAATACAATCAGTGTTTTTACATTCTTCCAGCATCAATGCACAGGCTTTTTTTGGCATTTTCAAAGAAGAAATAAAGATGCTTTGGTTTTGTACTCATAATTCTTTCCTTCCATGCTGATACAATAGCTTTTAATCAGACCGTCAGAATGAAAGTTTTAGAAGTTTGACTCTCGGCAAGGTCTGGTGCTAAACTTGAAAAATCTTACCCACTGGCTGAGATTTCTCTGTCTATATAAGACAGGATATATTGTATTTATCACCTAAAAAACTTTGTAACTAAAACATGGTTTTGACAAATGAGATATTATACAACACCATTATACATACCTGTACAACATCTAAGACCATGCCTGCTCCCACAGTGCCAAAGCCTGCTACAATATAGGGGAAGAAGACCTGCAGTGCTATCTCAAACCAGGTCTCCTCCCTGATAGGTTGATTTGCCTCCACATCACCAGGATCGGGATCACTATCCGGAGATGAGCTAGCATTTAACAGTGGCCTGGTGTCTACGTTGTTATCAAATATAGTCTCTTCCTCTTCATCATCGTCGTCATCATTTGTACTTGGCGAACCTTCTTGCGTTAATGTTCTCCCATTCAAATGTTTAGATTTCAGATCATTAAGTTTTGTGGCAGGTTCATGGCCGGTTGAGGTCATGGTGATGTCGGTGGGAGGGATAGGGCTGGAGGTGAGGCGGGTGGGAACCATTCTTTTGCGGAGGTTGTATACACCTTGACCTCTCTCAGCCATTACAGCTGTACCTCAGCAGCACAGACAAATCTTAGATCAAAGTCATACTTCGGTGATGGAATGAGGAATGTCCAAACTAAGTCATGCTGGAAGTTTAGGCGAGGTTCATAAAAGAAATCTGAAAATACAGAAAATGTAATTCAAAGTTAATAATTGACTACAAACACTTTATGTTTTTATTTACATAATAAGTTATCAGTTACATCAGATTCAGTTTTAAGCACAAATTTTTGAGTAATCTCCCCCAATACCATAAAATCTCAGGTTGGGCTTGTATAGAAAGACCCAAGATTTACAGAATTTTCTTTTAATTTAATTGAACTGTTTTTTTGTTATTCTTATGTATTTTTTCTGTATTTCTGGATTGCTTTTTTTCTTTAGAAGCCTTCCTTGATAAACAATTTGTATCCATATATACCAGAACTTAAGCTTCCTGTCAGTTTGTTGAGTTCTGTCCAACGTTTTTTGTGTATTTTTGCTTCAATTGATGCAAATATGCAGGGCTGACTTACAAGGGTAAGTGATAAGATGGCCCAATTATTTTTGTAAGAACAAAAATTCACTGGCCCAAAATCAATTAAAGGGCGTGCATATGATGCCATTCAAGATTAAATGACCACCTAAAAAAAAAATGGCCTGGGCTGGAGGGCCAGTGACTAAATCAACCCTTTAATATGACTTAAGCTTTAATCTAATCACTAACCAAAACAACTATAGTTCGTCTAATAATATATTACACAGGTTTGTTGTAATTAAAAAAATCAAAATTAAAATGTATCCAAGAGTAGTCTGATATTGATTTCTTTGATGGGATTATGATATCTCTACCCCCTTAAACATGTTTTAAAGAAGAAATTACAAGTCATTTTATTCAGAATAATGCAAAGCTAAGAGCCAAGGAAGAATGAAGATAGAATTAATTATCATTCTAATATGGTCATTCTCAAAGACAAGTTTAATTACAGTTGTTCATGTAGTCGTTAGACAAACATATGCATGCACACCTCTGCTAGGCTGACAGATATAATCTACTTCAACATCAGATGTTATATGTATATATACTGTTACCAATCAATTTGACTTTATCATTATATGCCATAACTGCGGGTAATTGCTTTATATACAAATGACATTAAAATAACATCACTACATTGGATATAAATGAAAGTATGTACACCAGTACTGTAATAACTGCATGTGTACCAAAACATTTAGAATTCAAGGACATTTGTTAAAAATTATAAAGTGAAAACATCTTCATCTAAATAAATTAAATCAAAATGAGATTAAAATGACATCATTACACTACATGCCCCTGATTGGATCATACTGAATTCAAGGACATTCCTTGAAAATGTAAAAAAGTGAAAATATATTCATATGAATAAATGGAATGGGAAAAAAACTGGTATCTCTCCGTCGATCCACACTGCAACACCCTCTATTATGAGCAGCGTGGGTGTCTGTGCATGTTAGAAGGTAGTATGGACTGATACGTATATATACTTATAACTTAATTTATTAAGTTCTGTTTTTCCTGTCATTCCTATAGCGGGTATAACTGAGTGCTCACCATCATGAATACTTTCTGTAAGCCAGGTCTCTGTGCCTATTACAATGTCTGGTTTAACATTCGCAGTATAGCTCCAAACGTAGGGTTACAAGACGTTTCAGTACTTACCAAAATTAATTTCCATAGTTTTTTTAATTTCTGGTACTTCCAGAAACGTTTCTGCTTGGCTCTTTGCTTCTTTTTTAAGTTCGGTATGTCGCTGATTTATGTATGTTAAGATTCTTCAATACATTTCGTTTTTAGAAAAAAAGGACATACTGTACTGATTTACTGTAAAGCTGATTTATGTATCGAAAACCTGGTGCCGAAATGATCACATGTATTTTACGTTTGCGATATGTGTGTACGTGTCACGATGACATGCATTAAATAGCACCAACTGTCAAATAACAGAAGTCATTAATTATGCTTTTATTTTGCATAAATGTAAATCACAGTATAATGTGAGCTGGCGTACGTGTACGTTTCGTCATGATCAGCTGATGACGATAGATCCAATTCATAAAGAAATTGTCAGTTTAAATGTCATCGTTTTCAACGAAATCATGTCTTCCGTTTTCATAAGATCCCCATTTGTCATTGTTTGTCGCTTAACAGCAAGTTTGACAGAGAATTGAAAACAAAAAATACTCACATCGGAAAGTCTGCCAACAAGTCAGTGGCCATATTGCTACTCTCAAAACAATTTGTTATCGTAATAAATATTATGATAAAAGAAGTAATCATTTAATTTGCTTTTCGATTGAAATTTCAACTTAAGAGGTTACAGTTTATATCTCTAATAAATTCTCATATATTGCATTGATATACGTATCTTAATATTTTTCTTGTACCTTCAATAGAGGCTATTTTTCAAGATGGCTGCGCCCATGGAAGAAGTCGTGAACGAAAGCATGCAAGAAGTTACCGGTGATTGTGTATCTTTAGATACAACAAAACAACATTTAACGAAATCAAAAGATTTACTGAACATAAATGGTACGCATTCCCCTCGTTTATCACTTTATTCAATCTTGATGTTGAATATAACGCAAGTAACAGGTCCAGTACACTCTGCCGATTGAGCTATATAGCTGTAAAGACCTAATATGTTTTACGGCACGGCCGTTAGTGAGGGCGGAGCCAGGTTGTACTGTAAATGTTTCGGAATATCGGTACTGTAAACTTTCAAGCATTGAGTGATGTGTTGAATGACTAAATCAGACCTACATGTATAGCTATACAGTGTATATTACAGTTAAGTTTCCTTTCTTGATTTCTTTTTGGCTGACAAGATGTTTGATATCTTGAAGTTTTCCGCCTAGGCGTATGATGACATGACATTAATGTGAGAATGCTAAAGGTTCATTAGACTCTATATAAGTATTTAAATTTGCACCTCTTGAATCCATTGCAAAAATCAAATGGCGGAGACTACAGCGCGTGCGACTGGCGGCCATGTTACGACAAGTTTTTCAGTTCCATAGGTATTGTGAATAATCTATATTTTTTTTACATACATGTTACCTATAGGGAGAGCTTCGCTCTCACGGGCCCTTCGGGCCCGTGAGAGAGCTCCGCCCTCTATGATGACATGACATTAATGTGAGAATGCGAAAGGTTCATTAGACTCTATATAAGTATTTAAATTTGCAGCTCTTGAATCCATTGCAAAAATCAAGTGCAGCATATTCTACAAAGACATTGAAATAAAACATATTAGGATGGATATTGTTAATCATGTATAATAGCATAGGTATCTGATATCCATGAAAAGATATATATATATATATATATGTATATATATTCACGAATAAGCCCTTTGGATTACTTCAAACTTAACTTCAATGATTTATAATACTGCATCCAGATAGAATTTATGCAAAGTATTTTACAATTTTTGTGCTTTTTATGTGTAAAAATTAATTTGTTCAATGCTATAAAAACTGGATTTATATAAGTTTCTATTAAAATAAGAAGCATATGCGAAATCACAATTTTTGTCATTTTTCAATACCCATCATTGCAGCCAAGAGAGTCAATAGATCTATATATCATATATATATTGTGGATGAATACATTTGTTTCAGTAACTAACTGACTATATGCTTTATATGTCTCTTCTTTATGTATAGTTTTAGCAATAGAGAAAATGTATTGTTTCCTAAATTAGAATTTGAATCATAAAGTTGTAGTTTGTTTTTTTAAATCGTGCAGATTTGTAAAACAGCAGATTTTCTTTTATTAATAAAAAATAGCTGTGAGATAGTAATCAAAAATGAAAATGTTACAGTATGGATTCAATTTTTTTCTTCAGTCTATTTTTTTCATGCAAAATATCAATAAAAAAATTCTTATGAAAATACTTGTATGTTTTTTATCCTATCGTTTTGCGTCACTGCGATAAACTCCCTTTTTGTTGACAACCAGCACATTGTTTTGTTGATATTCCGTTTTCTAAATATATATATATACCACTGCAATCTCTACCCAGAGTTGTCGTCGGGAGTGCAAGGACCGTAACTCTGCGTGATAGTCTCGTTCAACCAGACTCTTGTTGTCTGCGCAAGCGTCTGATTGAACGAGACCACACTGCCGATACCATAATATTTCGACCATTCAGAACTAGAGCAATGTAGCCGGTAACGTTATGTCAAGAGAATTTACATCTTTAACCAAATCAAATATTTAAGTATCCTATAGTTAGATATAAGTTTTAAATCTTACAAAAATGTAACGTTTGTTCGAGATTCGGCAAACGAGAACTTGTTTCGAGATCAAGATGGCGGAGACTACAGCGCGTGCGACTGGCGGCCATGTTACGACAAGTTTTTCAGTTCCATAGGTATTGTGAATAATCTTTATTTTTTTTACATACGTGTTACCTGAGGTCAGCCTCGGTTCAGATCTGTACCTGTCGTTTTCTTTTTAGGTTCAACCGGATACGTGAATAATAATAATAATCTTTATGTAACGTCACCTCTGTAGAGCTTTTATTACGACGCTGCTAAGGGAACAAATGGTGTTTTCGTGGTGGAGGAAAACCATAGTGCCATCGGAGGGATAACAACTAACCCTATCAGACATCACTCTCTTTTTTCCATGTCTATCAATGTACTGTTAACACTATCAACAACATGACTTCAGTAAGCCATGTCTATCAATCTACCGTTACCACTATCAACAACATGAGTTCAGTAAGCCATGTCTATCAGTGTACCGTTAACACTATATTGCTGTGTATGTGAAAGGTAGGGAAGTACATAACAGCAGAGAGTTGATGAATTTTGGGTATCTTAAAGTCGTTCTGGACAGTATTTTTTTAAATTTCGGAAGAGAAAAGTCCATGCCCTTCATAAAACTATAACAGAATAGCAAACATGCCCGTATTTGAAGAGAAGAGTTGTTAAACGTTGGGATGTCTGGGTACATGTAAGTTCGGCCCACATTGGAATTTGCATAATTATGACGTCAGAAAGCATGCAACGTCATATTTTTCCGCCAATGCCAGGCTTCCCGTGAATGGCCTTGGCCGAACCTGTCCCTGTGTCATGGGACGAACCTCTGTATAATAGAGCAATGCGAAACTCAATGCTAGGCTTGTTTGTATACCATCATGTGAAGCTGTCGGTTTGTTACACGTATGCTATCAATAAGTAGCATTTCGGTTTACCAAAAGTTTGCATAACTAGAAAGAAGTGAGGTCATAATTTTCTTTCTACCCTCCCAAAAAATGTTTTTCTCGCTTTTAGTAATCTATAATTATAGTTTTCCTGTCATTTTTTTTCCGTATGAATGTCCTGCCCAGTGAATTGCACTGCTAAAATCCTCAAAGTTGTCAATATTTGCTTGGCAAGACTAAAATATCAGGAGTGGCCGGAGTTACCCCAGGGCCAAACTTGCCCCGGTTTCCACAAGTTGCCCTAACCCATATTAAACCCTGTCGCTATGGATCTGCCCTGGTTCGTTGTTTTAATTTTTAGCGTCAATTACTGGTCTATGTGATTGTTTTCTTCAGATGGTACAGTAAAGTATTGAAGAGAGTATAAGAACTAAAATAAAAAAGATACTTTACACAATTATTAGACTATTGTTTGTCAATACATGCATTCGAAAGAATCAAAAGTCTTAATCCAGAATTGATGCTTACATTTTAAAAGTGATATATTGATGGTAAATATACAATTAGGATAATGATTACATTACGCAGTACATATTGAGGAGATTCTGTTATAGTAAAATTAGCATTGCTCCATTATTACTGGTTTTTTTTGTTTTTTTCAGGAGGTAATGGAATTACAGATCAACTATTGGTGAATAAAAAATGTAAAGCAGCAAAACTTGCTGGACCAAGGAAAACATTTCGACCACCTCCAAGCTCAGGTACCTTGACTCAATATACTGTAGTATTATAGCCTAATGTATTACTGTACCAATATACCGTTCCGTAACACAATTTGATTGCTTCTCTGGTGAAAAGGTCAGTGTCACTGTTGCCATAAATAGATTGAGTTCAAAAACAAAATTTAAATAGGGCTTCTTTGCCTAATGCAATTACATGGGAAAGATAACCTACTATGAACACATACATGCCAACTCTCCCTATTTAGGAGGGAGACTCCCGATTTTGGACCCTAAAATTGAACAATTTCAACTAGTGAATTTGCTAAACTATTCCTATTTTTTAAGGTCTGATGATTTCACCTGAAAGAACAGCTCAAATGACACCATTAAAAGTGTTATTTTCCCCCTAGGGTGGAAATCCACACATTATATTTTTGTTTTAATCCTGAGCATGTGTAATCGCCCCCATGTGTAATCTCCCCCATGTGTAATCTCCCCCATGTGTAATC